GTTACGCTCGTTTGTATTTTTGTTTAATTCGTTAATTTTTTACCAGTTTTGACATTTATCATTATTATGACAGTTGACTAGCCTTGGACTCTTTACCAGATCTAATCGCAGATTACACGGAGTTTTTTACTGAGTTATTTCATTTCAATTTTTCCTATTTTGTCGTTCTTTCCTTTTCTACGCTTGGAGGAACTTTATTTTAAGTTCTGTTTCATTTTTGTCTTTCATTTTAGGTTTGTTTTACACTAGATTTCCTTTTAATTTTAGTTATGTTTTGTTGCGTAACGCGTGTCTATGTATTTTCATTTCTCACCATATGCTTCGTTGATACTGCAATAAACAAACTTTAATCGAGTATGGAGCGTATGGTTGATCACAGCGAACTCCACCCGTGGGAACGCGACAGAGCACAGGCAGCCCAACCGCACTATGTGTGGGTTCGGGCTTCAGAGGTCATTTGGTCGGAATATACCAGAATTATTAGCGTATTATCTGAGGCCAAGTGAATGTAAAAATCTTAAAGATATGAAGTCTTCTTGTTTGTCTATCTGTACTAGTAGCCTTTAAGACAACGAAGGTCGATATTTCTTGCATTATTACATGTGATTCGTGCCCTTATTGTTCGAATTTTATTACACGTATTCGAATCTACGACGCTAAGAAAAAAAATCATGATCACGCGAAATATTGATTCAAAAAGCTCCCTTACCTTTATTTCATAGCCAGTCTGTGTCCTACGGCCGGTTAAACGCCGTTTAGTCGACTTTTTTCCATCGAGTACTGAACACTATAAAAGTTCAAAGTCGCCAAGTTTGATGGTCAAACTGAGCTTAAAGGGGTTTTAAAGTTTTCACTTTTTAGTCAGAGATGACTATATAGCTCATCATCTGATATCAAGATCACATTTTTCAAACCCTTTTTGCCTGAAAAAGCAAAATTAAAGCCAGTAGTATTGCAACCTTTTTCTTTCTTACAGGACCGTGACACAATTCGTTTCATACAAGATACGTATCCGCAGCTGTCGTTTATGTTCGTGTGTAACAAGATAGACACGTCAGCAGAAGCAAAACAATTCGACAACAGAAGTTCTGATGAGATCGATTCTGAAGACGAAGAAACGACGATAGAATTCGACAAGCAGAGAACTGTCTTTTCCCAGTTACAGAGCCACGGCCTCATAGATGACGACGCTGCGTATGAAACATGCTGCTGCTTTTATGGCATATCAGCACAGGATGTCCGAGAAGAAAGAATACGCAAGAGAAGTGACAAGGCAACACAGGCTTTCGCCAGGTTTAAAGAGGGATTGTTAGCGATTTTAGACGAAACTGTCAAGCTACAGGGCAAACAAGTGGTGAACAAGCTGATTCTTTTCCAAATGGCTCTTGTTCAGGCCACAGAAAGGAAAAGGCGGACATTGAATAGGACACTATTACTATTTGGAGGTTCTCTAGTCTATGATACCGCTAAAAGTATCGGAAAATCATTGCATGACACGTTGATGTCCACTGTTGCAAACAAAGTCAAACTGGGAATGCTGGTTAACTGCAATCTCATAAACCTTGAAGAAAGATTAATGTCAGCTGCAGAACTATATCAATATCACGGAATAAAGAGTGGTTTGACATCGTTAGAAGCAAAGAGATATTATCTATCGCTGATGAAGGATAGCGAGGACGAAGAAAGGCCCGAGTTTTCCTCTCAAAGAGAAGACGCCCCATTTTTGCAGTTCTTGGTCAGCATGAAAGAAGCGATCCTGGATAGGACCTTTAATGTTTTAAAACGTGTCGTAGAGGTTTTCTTAACAGGAGCAACTGACCACGTTAAAATTCATTTAAGACGACTTTGCAATCTACATGTAAGACTTGCATACAGAGAAGTGTATGGATCATGGCTGCTTAAAACAGAGACAAGCTCCCTGTCAAAAACGGATGCTAACGGGCTAACCCTTATTAAAAGGACGGTAAGTGTTGCATTAAGGAAAATCTTGAAAAAGTTGATTATGGAAGGAGTATTTCACGTGATGACTGAGTGGAGAGCCCCCACTAATCTAGAGGACCAGCAAAGCAAAAGAAAAATTATGGAACAGTTACTTTCAAAATTAAACAGCAAAGCCATTACTGAGTCAATTTGTGCTGCCTGTACGAAAAGTTTGGAAGACATGCATGATGCTTTCTTTAGATTCATTGATGATTGCAGTCAAGTGAGCCACTCCAAATCAACTACGACGTCTAAACAATTCGAGGAAATAGGCACATTGTATCTTCCCACACTGACGCACCTTGTCGTGAAAGCTCTCGCTCTGCAGTTCCTGTTAACCAAGGGACCTCTGGTACTGGGTCCAGCTGTGAAGGCCACAAAAAATGGTCAGCTTCTTGAGTGTGCTGGTTGGGCAGATGAATCGACCAGTGGCGCATGCGTGGTGAAGGTGATCAAGGAGGAAGAGGTGGAGGCAGAAGTGTGGGCACAGACGTCAGTAGATCTCCTTAACACCATGTAAGCAACACTTGAGTTTTTAAGTGACAAACGTTTGCTCATTAAAATCGCCATATTTATAGCAATTACTACGGATACTGCAAGAGTCGCTATAACTATTTCATTTTCCAATCACTAAAATGAAACATTGCATTAGTATGTGTAATCAAATATCGACGAGTGAAATTAGGGAATAATTTCACGGAAAAGGCTCGGGAAATTATTAGGATTTGGACAAAAAGCGCGTGAAAATTTCACGAGTATCCCATATTATTACCTATTAATATCATAGGTGACGAATTACTGCTTAATTTTGGCGCGAAATTTCAGCGTTAATTTGTAATTGCACATGTGAAATTACAAAATTGCCATGGCAACCCTTCCGTACGTCTCAGTGTCAACATGGCGACGAAGTTTTAAAAATGCCGCGAATGAAGATGTCAGGGCACAAAAAGACGCTTTAGAAAACCTGAACACACAAGAGAACATCAAGAAGGATTCTAACAGGTATTTTGCCGAAAAAGTCTGAAAAATTCTGAACTTTATTAACCAAATTTAAGGTCTAAACATTTGAAAAAGTGGAGTTCTCGATCGATACGATCCAGAAAAGGATAAACATGGCCGATAAACATGTCAAAAATCCAAGTTTGCTGGCGTAATTCGTCACCCATAATATTAATAGGTAATCAAATGGTATACTCGTGAAATTAGGGAATAATTTCAATTGCGCGTGAAATTATTCCCTAATTTCACTCGTCACCATTTGATTACACATACTAATATCATGGGCGACGAATTACCTTAGCAATCGTGAATTTTTGACATGTTTATCCTGGATCGTATTGATCGAGAACTCCACTCTCTCAAATGTTTAGACTTTAAATTTGGCTTAAGTTCAGAATTTTCACAATTTTTCCACAACATAATGTAGTGATCCCAAGAGCAATAAAGTATCCAAACAAACAGATTTAACTCAACCAATTTCATTGCAATCGTAACATGGCCGCCGCTATCAAAAGCACATGGTCAAGCTATCCCAACATACTTAGCGGCCTAATACATTACATCTCTCCTTTCCTCAGAAAAATGCTCCTTTACATGAAAAAGGAAATCTCCACTATCAGTAAGTCAACTGTACTAACGACTAGTAACAGTTGACACTACAGCTGCACCCGCCCTGTATATAGTATTCTTGCTTCTTGTGTAGCTCTTTGAAATATGAAGATGTTCACACATATTCCCTACAATAGGTGAGATAAATATAGGAAATAAACGCAAGGTTCCATGTACAGTTTCGGTTCGATTTAAACAGCTTTGATCAAAACATTCTCAGTTTCGAGAATAGTTTATTCTAAACCATAAGAAAAGATTTAATTAGGAGTTTAATTTTTTGCTATTTCTATTTCACTTTTTACATTTAGTTCATTTCAGTTGCCGGAAAGTAAGCCTTAGAAATTAAAAGGACGTTGATCAATTCACGCTCGCGCATTCTAGTCTTATTTTAAACTTTATAGCGGAAAGACATCCGTGCGCAGGGAATAAGTCAGCACAGAACTTGATGGTCGGAGAATTTCTGTAATCGTCCATCGCTCTGCTAGTGATAAGCTAGCCGTTGAATCATTCACTCGTCTTGCTTGTTTGGAGCCGAGTCTCATTCCGGTCAAAGAGAGAGAAAGACTGTCTGGCAAGGTTCAGCTGAAGGTTTCCAATCAAAGACTTGTGAACTCTTGTCTGGCAAACTCACTTGGCGGTGTTAAAATATACACTGTTCTACGCACCTTATAACTTCATCTGCGCTTAACGAGTGTCTTTTGGTCTATAACTTTCATAACAACTGCTCCACAGAATGTCACTGATAACACGAAACGCAAAAGAGTATCGAAGTATGACTGCACAATTAATGTCACAAAATCTACCTGTTGTAAGCTTTTTGTGTTTTACGTCATCCTAACCATTTCATACTTGCGGGCGCAAACAATAGAAACGTCATCATCGCCTACCGATTCCTCGCGGCCCCTGTTCAAGCAAATCGAGATTTTCTCTATATTGACTATATGACTGTATATTTCAACTGTAAGTACTTTCCTTAATATACGCGCGAGTTACTAGGGTGCCTCCTCTGGATTTCGCTTTCTGGGCGAAATCCCTGCGGGGGCAATAAAGTCTCTTGCTTCTAAATACGCAAACAGAAACCTAAATGTTCAAACTGTGCTTAGTTCTGAAAAGAGAATCAGTGTTCATGTTCCCCAAAGAAAATTAACAACATAGTCTCTTAATCTCTCTGGTAATCTCCTTGTCCTCTGGGGTCTCAAATTCGTGGATGGCTCTGGTGCCGCTCCAACATTCTCATTCTCTCTCTATCCAGCAGCTCGGCAGTCGATTCTGGTATGGTTGGTTGGTAAGGTGATGGTACAGGGTCTGTTTCCTGCTGGGGTGTGGGGGGTGTTGACACAGAGTCTGACCCTTGTAGGGGTGTGGGATCTCCCTCTCTAATGTATTACTTCACATGACCTGTGTTTCTGGAGTACTGGTTCCCTGTTGGACTCTCTACTACGAGGCTGTTTCCGGTCTTGCTGACGACCTTGAAGGGGTTTGGGTTGAATGCAGTGCTGAGTTTTTTAGTCTTGTCTTGTTGGACGAGAACTTCATCACCCAGTTCGATGCTGGAGGGACTGGCCCTGCGGTGTATGTCTGCATAAGCTTTACTCTTAGCTTTCTGTTCAGCATCGCGATCATGTACTTCGTGGTCATAAGCATGGTCGATGCTTAAATCAGGAATCTTCCCTTTGACTTTCCGGTTAAACAGTAGCTCAGCGGGACTCCTTCACATCGTATTATGGGGAATACTTCTATAGGCAGTGAGATACTTCCTTAATTCTGCTCTCCTTGGTTTGTTCTCTGCCTGAGCAATTTGTAGTTGTTTCAAAAGTGACCGATTCCGTCTCTCGACCTCTCCGTTGGCTTGGGCCCACTCGGAAGTAACGTTCTGATATATAATACTATGCTGTTCACAATATTCTCTAAACTCATTCGACTTAAATTGTGGACCATTGTCTGACTTGATGGTATTTGGCAGCCCATGTGTGCGCAAGGTATCAGCCAGACGGTCTATGATCTTTTCATTGGTAGTGGACTGCATAACTTCGACTTCGTAAAATCGGCTGTAGTAATCAACAATGACTAATAGTGAATGTCCGGATGGTAGTGGTCCCATTAAATCTACTGCTAAGTCTTGGCAGGGTCCATCGGGTAATGAGGTGGATCGAATAGGTTCAGGGGGATCTGACCGTGCCACCAGCTGACACCCCCGGCACGCTCGGCAATGTCTCTCAGCCGCTTTATCCATCACTGGCCACCACACTTTGGTTCCGAGGTTCTGTTTGGTGCCAACCACGCCCAAGTGGCCTTCATGAGCAAGTTCTAAGGTCCTTGGCTACTAAGCACGAGCTGACTGGTGACACACAACTCCCCCGCCACTATCATATACTGCCTACACTTTTCAAGCCGCCCCGTTGCAGTAGCCTTCCTCACTTCTCTCAGTTCTTCCTCATCAGCAGAGGCCTCTTCTATCCCACGGGTTGTGAGTGCTGTTGGTGTTGCACTTACAGCAACAAACCTAACATACTCTTCAGTACACCGTTGGTGGTTGTCAGGTTCAACCTTCCTATGAAGTAGTCGCGACAATGGATCAGCAATGTTCTCGCGCCCAGGCCTGTGTATCACACTGAAATAATATGGCTGTAATCTGAGAACCCATCGCTCTATCCTTGCACATGGTCTTGACCGTGGACCATATATGACCTCTAAAGGCTTGTGGTCGGTCTTTACAACAAACTTCATCCCATACACATAGACATGGAATCTCTCACACGCCCACACCACACCCAGTGCCTCCTCCTCTGTCTGGGAATTTCTCTGCTCGCATTCGGTCAAACTACGACTAGCATAACATACCGGTGTCCATGCACCGTCCTGCTCCTAATAATAATAATTAATAATAATAATAAGGATTTGTATAGCGCCATATCCGTAGGCTCATGGCGCTTTACAAGTGAATATTTCAAACCGAAAATTTTGTAGATTTAAAAATTTACATCAATAATAAAACACAAAGTTAATAATTCTTATCTAAAAATTAAAGTTAAAAGTAAAAGTAAAAATTAAAAATAACAAATTCTTATCGCAATATTTACACTATATACATTATTCTAACAGAACTTTAATTAACATATTCTTTAAATAAGAAGGTCTTTATTGAAGTTTTAAATTTTAAAATGTCATCATGAATGCGTATTTGTTCTGCCAGTGAGTTCCAAATTGTAGGTGCTGCAAATGAGAATGATCTACAGCCATATTTCTTGAATTTTGCTGATGGTACTGTCAGGAGCCTCTTAGAAGAAGATCTTAAGCTTCTTGATGGTTTATAGCGTTGGAACATTTCTGTTATATAGGAAGTTGCTAACCCATGTAAGGCTTTAAAGGTTAACAGAAGCATCTTGTATTTGATACGTCTCTAAAAATGATCTGAAAAAAGTACACTTTCGCGTCTAATCTTGTATTCATAACGACATTCATTCAAAGCAAAGTAAAATTTGGAAACAATCTTTTAACAAGTCTAGGTTTCATTGACAGAGAAAAAGCTAAGGGCAAACATCCGGTTCTATATAAAAAAGGTTTTTGTATTCTTATTTCTATCTTAAAGGTCTTAAAGGCTTGATTCGCATAAAAATAAGTGGCTTCAATGTTCGGTATTTCTAGGCATGAGTTCATACCTTCACAGCAACAGTTTACCATAATTCTTATTTCAATTTACATTTATACTATTGGCACTACCAAATGTCATTTGTCAGTTAAAATTTAGGCCAGTTGCCAGTTGTCAGTAAACCCCATCAAGACCCTCATCCACTCCTCTGCAGACTCACCGCGCAAATAATGCAATAATGCTAGCGTTATATTCATAGGCTAATAAAGACAAACCAGGAGCACCCAACGACAATTTTCGGAAAAATATCTGTTCGGAAGACG